TCTCCGACAAGCGAAGCAAGCTAGAAGGATGCATATGGAAAAATAATATATTGATCAAGCAAAAGCAAGGGAAAAAAAAGCTGTCATATATAAAGTAAAATAACGTAAAATAATTTTTTCTTTCTTTAGTTTACTTACTGGAAAAGTATGATTAACTGGAAGTTGTATAAATGACGCAATATATGATACTTCCATATCAACAGTTGTTTTTTCAATTTCAGGTAATTGTTCTTCATTATTCTATTTAGAGTAAAACGATAGAATTCAAATAATAGTTTTTTTTGCTAAAAAAAAAGAATTTACTGAAATTGTTTCTTGTCTATTGAGTTCTTCATTAAATTGTATATTATTTTCTTCGACATGTATATCATACAATTGTTCTAATTGATTGATATGTGATGAATTTAATATAAGTGGTTGTTCATTTATTTGAGGAATATATAGAGAATGTTCATCATCATTGAATATTTCATTGACATTAGTAATAATAGATGATGGTATTGATAGATTTATATCTGGAACAGTTTCAAATATTGGAATATCATTTTGAATTCGAGCAATATGTTCATCGTTTGATATAATTAAAGTAGTATGTTCATATTTTGGTTGTTGTTGAATAAATTGTGTAATTTGTTCGCTATTTGAATGTTCAACTAATGAAAATGGTGGTTGAGGTGAAGTAATAATCATGGCATGTTGTAAATCATTTGAAGAAATTTGAAGATATTCAGCTTGTTGTAATGGTACTGTTTGATCTATATTTACCATAGATAAATAATGATTATCAGTTTCAATAAGATTAGCGTGACAAATAGCAATTTGTTCAGTTAGAGTACCATTACTTGGATAAATTTTTGTTTGTGAACGATGTGGCATACGAACTGAAGGATGAGATGCAATGACCTAAAGAGTGAAATACTCTGACATAATCCGATATCTCAAAATCTTAAATTCAACAATTAAAGAGACCAACATATACTATTATGACACATACAGTCTAAAGTATAGAAAAACTTGTGTCGAATGAAACCTCTGCACTTATAACTACCGAACGAATCACATATTTTTCGAATCAATTCGCACAACGACTTGTTCTTGTTATTAAATATGGTGTACCGAATAGAATTCGATGAAATGTATCATGATACAGCTCATCGAGTTCTATTTGACACACCCTATTTAATAACAAGCACAAGTCGTTGTGCGAATTGGTTTCAAAAATATTCGATATCGATACTTCATTCTATTTCAAAATTATTCGACAGAAGTGAGTGTATTACAATTTCAGAAGCAAGAAAGTATTCACTTATTTTATTTTGCGTCATGTTATGTGATCTATTTTTTTATTCATGAGATAAATCGTGTATTTCTCATTTAAAAAAACTGTACTATTATAGTCTTCTACAGAGAGCTTAAAACGAGTAAACCCAGTCTTTTTTCTTTATCTGAAATAAATTGAAAACCTAGTTAAGTTAATTAAGCGATAAGTCTACATTTTCGTAGACAAAATTCAGTCACTAGTAAGAATTTCACCTAATTCTTTGCATGGTATAGCAACATTCAGTAGCAATACTACTGTAGAAAACCTGAAATAATACCTGTTTTGCTGTTTTTAATGTATCATCAGTAATTTTATTGCTAGAATCTTTTTCTTGTTGAATACGCATTTGTTTTCTATCAGTAATATCTAACGAATCCACATCTGTTGTATATGGTAGATCATATTGATCATAAATAGTTGCTGTAAATGTTATTCTATTTTTCGATGATGATTGTTTATTATCGGAATAAATCGGAGGTGGTAAGGTAGTACCAATATAATGTACAAAATGTTCACTACCATCTTCGGTTAATGATCGACGGGCACGACCCATAACAATTTCTTTTGTTTGTATAATTGTTGGTGGTGATACAATATGAAAATCATGATTTGATCGATCAATAATTGGTGAATGTGAAGGTTTTATTTCTGAAGTATATATAGGTGGACTATGAAGATTTGATAAAAATTGTCCTTGTCTTTGTCTTCGACGTCTTTCAAGTTCAATTGCTATTTTTCTTTTATAATTTTCTAATATGGATGGTTTATAAATATCAGCAACATCTTCTGTTGTAAATGATGTTGGCGTATGAAATGGTTGTTTATAACGTAAATGTTCTTTTCGTACTTGATATAAATGTTCAGCTGATAAACTTCGATTTAATTTTGTTTTTATACCATCAATAATTTCATGTTTATATGCTTTATCACGTGCAATTATTTCAACATGTCGTACACTTGCTTGCATATTACGATTTAATTTTGAAAGGTAAAAATCAGCAATTAAATTACTTGGACGATCAAGTAATGAACGATTAACGGTTGATAAATAACGTGAAATTTTTCGTTGATGTGGAATAATTTTCCTTGAATGTATATCATCTATATAATAATTTTCATCTTCATCCGACCAAAATGATGAATTTGATTTAATATCAATATCACTTTCATAATCACGAGTTTTTGTTTGAGATTGCTGAGATTTTTGTTTTGTATATTGTGAAGCATTTGATACATGACCAGCAATATATGCATCTATACCACGAAAACTTTCTTGCATGATTTCATAAAATACATCAACACTTAAACGAACATTTGCTGGTGTTTGAGAATTCTATATTTAAAATAAAACAAAAATTTGATTTTGGGTCAAATTAAGTATACTCCAAATTTAGAGTTTACGGATGTTTAAGTTTTCGCGAAATAATCTACCTGAAAACTGTAATCATCTGTTTTTAATTGCTCTAATAGATATTCTGGACTGTGCTGAGTTGACTCGTGATGCACAAGAAAAAAAAGCACACACAAATTGTCGAAAACTTGAAACTCGTAAACTTCAAATTCAGAGCTCACTTAACTTGACCTTTTTTTTGTCATCCATATCAAGATATAATTAGCAATTATTTTCCTTCGGAATCTGTTGATTTTAGATATAATTCATATTCTATCAACAGATGGTTTTCCTACTCATGCAATTAAAGAAAATACTAATCATCTGATATTGCGATCGTTGTAGTACTTCAAGGACTAAGTCGTGCAGAGAGTTTCTCACATGTCACGTCATTTACTTGTCGAGCACTCAATTACATTTTGGTCCTATTTTGAGGAGAACTCTCTTCGATACAAATATTGGACTCATAAGGAACATTAAGTTTGAAGAATACGTCCAGCTGCTGTCTCTCTTCATATGAGTAAGAACGGGAGTAATATTACAATACATTTGTATTTGATTAAAAAAAAGAACAAACTACATACTGACTCATTGTATATGTTATATTTTGACAGGAGTTGACTTCACTAAGTAAAATATTCTTTCGACATGTAAGTTAGCAACATAGTTTTTATATTACTCGCGTCGAATATTATCTCGATAATGTCTCAAGGATGCGAAAACTTTAAATATAAACTATAACTAGATTGAAGAGTAGTCTTTGAGACACAATTGCATTAGCACTAAATATACATACGAATAATTTATGAAATACTCGACTTGAAAAGATTTTACGCTGAATGAATCAAGAAGAATATAAAAATATGAAATATATGCAAGATTATAATGGTTAAATATGAATTGATTCAAAGTCTCTTTTCTCAAGTCTGACGTATCGTTTTAAATATAATATCAACTTGACACTTGATTAATCTACAACTGGTCATGCAAGTATTAATTTTTTCTCCCTGAATAAATATAAGGTACCACATTTCTAGACATAACACCGAATTTGAATAGTCTAGTTCAATCAATTTTAGTTACTTTGAAGAAAACAACAGAGTTATCTCCCAATCTTTCGTCTTACCGATGCATATGATCTAAGATCCGTTTCTAGAGTTCCTAATTGTGTATCCATATTTTCATTTGAACTTCCAATCATAATTGGACTATAACCAAATGATGATGTTGGTGATAATTGTCCAGTCGTAAGTGATGATTGCAAACGATGAGATCTTTCTCGATCCACAGATGTTTTCATTTTATAAGCTTCTAATATAGATGGTACATAAATATCTTGAATGTCTTCATATGTATATGAATATATATGATTACGTGTTTGATTATGACGAAATTCTTCACGTCTCAGATCATCTAAATAAGATGATGAAAAACAACGTATTAAATTATAATTTAATTCACGTTGTAATGATTGATTTTCATATAAACGTAAATAACGACGAATATTTTGTTCGAAATTTTTGAAACGATTTTTATCTGTTTGATAATTACGATCAAGTAAACTTTTATTAACATTTTTCATAATTTGTGTATGAATACGATTAGTATTCAGGCTTGAATATAATCTTTGTTGTTCATTATCATATTCTATTGAATCATTATTGAATGGTTCCTCCTCTTTTGCATAATATTGACTAATATAACTTAATGATGTTGTAGTAGATGTTGAAGGTATTTGGGACTGCTGTTGTTGTCTATATTTTTTATTTACAGATGAAACAAGACGATCAACAGATTTTTCCAATGATTCTGGTGATTGAATAGAACGTTTTACAGATAAACGTTCACGAGCTTCATTTAAATATGAACGTACTGCAGATTTGTCTGTTGGTTTCAATATAGATAATAAACCGTTAGTTGATGTAGTAGTATCCATTCGTTTTTGTTGTCGATATTCACGATTTATATTTGATATTTTCTGAGGATATTTGCGTTGATATGACCATGTATCTATAGAATAAAAGTAAAAAACAAATTTGACTCATATAATTAACCTACCATCTGGATGAATGAATGTTGTTGTTGTACTTGGATAATGTAATGATTCTGTTGTTTTTGAGAATAGATAAGGTGTATCTGAGGTGATATTTGATGGTTCATCAATCAATTTCATTGAACGTTGTTCAGAACTACCACGTGAACGTTCATTTTGAGTTGAGTTATTTAATGAAAAATGATATCGATTTGAATCTGCTGAATGTGCTCGGTGTTCACTTTGATTCGTTGAAAAATTATAAATTTCATCTGTATTTGTTGAAGTGAATTTATACCGTTTTCTTGATGATGGTGATAGATTGTTTGATTTATTTTTTGTTTTATTTGACTCATTTGAATGAAAAAAATAACGATCATTTATATCTGTTGATGATGGAAGTATAGTTTTTGTTAACATTTGTTGCTGCTTATTATAAAATTGATCTAATCGAGACAGTAATCGTTGAAATTGTTTTGTATTATTTGAAGCTAATGGTAAACATGCTTCAAGTATAAGTTGATCTTCATAAATTGAAGAAGAGGAGGAAGATAATGATGATGATTCTGTTTCTATAAATTGATTATCCAACGATTCATCGATCAACTAAAAAGAAAAATAATACATTTACTTTTATTTCTCATAGCTTTCTATTCATAAACAATATTTCAAAAACCAAAAAAATGTAATGGTCTCTCTTTTGGTTTTCTTTGCTTCATTAATTTCAATGTATATTTGTAAAAAAAAATTGTTTACGCAAAAAGAAGCAATAAGCCTAAGAGCAAATTTCGATAAAATAAGAAAAAAGAACCGAAAGAAGTTATTTTAACGTAATATACTTCTTGATATTTTTCAGTATATGTTAATTATCAATAGCTCATACTAATCCATTGCTTTAATCGGATTTATGCATAATTGTTTAACTGCATATACATATAAATAAGAAAATGAAACTAATCGTTATAGAAATGAAAGAGACGTATTTAAATAAAATATAAACAATGAATATATATGGACTTATTTGAAGGTATGTAAAAGAAATTGAGCATGAATAGACAAGGTGATCAATATATTCGCTCATTCTCTGTCGATAAGCAATACGAAAATCTAATGAATGTCTGTGTGTCTGTCCTTCAGATATTCGAGAAGATGTATATATATGAAACAGTAAAAAAAAGTATCTGAAAAAATTAAATCAAGGATGATCTAAGTCAATATTTTCCCTATACGTGAAAATTTTCATTTTCTAATCATCATATTTCTTTTTCATATTAATCGAAATAATTTATTACAAATATTTTATAAGTGTGTTAATACGTTTTTTTTATATCTCTCAGCTACTTCATCATTATGAAAAAAAAAGAACAAATTTTACTATTATATCACTTACAATATTTATTTATTAGTTTTATTTTTATTATTCTATATTGTGAATTCAATAGTGTCTTATGTAGAATTAAATACAGTGAACAGAATGGATTGAAGTAAAAAGGATAAAACTGTTTATTTACATTGCTTATTACGTCTTATTGTTTACATCACCTGCATACATAAAAATAATATTTTTTATCGATCTAGTACTTCTCATCTTATATGAGACAAAATCAAATAATAAAAAAATTTTACTTACCTATCTGAGAAGATGTTAAGTCTTGATCCATCAAATTAAATATAACAACTAGTTCGGATTTCTTCATTCACTCTCTTTTTCGTTCTCATATTTATTTGCTTACAAGGTATTCAACTGTAAGTAAAGTAATGTAGGTGAAATAGTTGAATAATTCGTGTGACTATGTATTCTCATTTCATCACAAGTCAATATTGGACTTGGCTTATCGTTGTTTATTAAATGATACTACTCTATTGACGTTCTTGCTCTTTCTCTATCGAATTATCTAAAGAGATTACCTGAACTTTTCGGAGCAATAGTCATCGTCATTTTCTTTTTCCCGTTGAGCTCATGTAGTTATAACAATAAACAGCTTGTGATATTTCTTTTTTTTTCAAAATAAATGATTGTAGTTCTTCATATGATAAAATTGATGATCTCAATTTTAAGACAATGATTATATCATGAACATATATATGACATAATAAAAAAAATATCTATACTCTATACACTTACGGTTGATAAAAGACAATGATCTTGATCATTGTTTTGAGAAGTATATAAAGATGGTGATTCAAGAGACGCAAAAGTACGTAGTATAGCATTAGCATAGGTGTCCATAATTGATAATGAACCATGATTGCTATTGTTTATATTTTGTTGATTAATAGATGAATATGGCATATTAGATCTTGAATGAAAGTAAAAATTGATTTTATTTTATAATATATATATAAATATGCATAACAGTAGACTCATCAGATATATTATGAATATGATAATGATTACACTTCATTGTTAAGATCGGATAAGAAAAAAAAGGTGTAATAGAAAAAGTAAACGATCGTTGAATTCATTTTAAATGCTCAACTTGTCAAAATATTCTATTAAATGATCATATCAACTCGATTGTCTCATATATGCATAATGTTTATGTGCATGTCTATTGAACTGTTCTATTTTAATAAAAATGTCATCTTTTCAACTTACGACAAAATGAAAGAGTTGAAAAAAAGAATATGTTTATCGAACAATTAACTTCTTTGACAAGTCCATATGTACGAAATTTATCATATAAATGGATGATAAAATATCGTCATTTACTTACTAAATTATATATATATAGTAATAACTTTAGAAGTACATTAGTATACAACAATAGTTCAAATGATGATAGGATAAAAATAAAATAAATCATCAAAAAAAAAATGTACCTTTGAAATAATGACCATACATGTGTCCTATTTGACTTTTATTATCATCAATTTAAAAATAATGATGTTACGATAATTGAGAATAAATGTATTCGTTAATGATATAAAGTCATTGAATGTATCGTCTGTAATACGAAGTAGGTCATAAATTCAAGTACATATTTTACATAGGTCGATGGAACATTTATCAACGTGAACAGAATAATTTTTATAATACAATAAATGAAGAAAAATATGAATTACATCATAGAAATGTTTATATGGCTTATGACATATTAGAATCATATCACAGATATAAATTAGAGTTTATACCAGTTGGTCATAATGTAAAAAGGTAAATGAAGTATAGGTAAACAATACTATCTGATAGTTATTGTTCTTATTTGTGCGAAAAGTGGTTCATGAACCTATTAACTTTAATTATATGATAGATTGATTATATCAATAAATTGTAAGGTTTCTTGTCAATAATTATCCTATCATGTATTTGATTTTAATTGATATTGTCACCTGTTTGGAAATTATGAGATGAAGTTAAAATATTCCTGATCGCTACTATTTGCGTTTTTGAATAGACTCCTACATACATCGAAATAATTTACATTTTATTTTTCAAAATCCTATAAATTACATTTACAGAAATTTTTTATTTTTTGATGTTTAAATTTTATTTTCGTTACGACGATAATATATACGTATCAAAAAAGAAAATGAAGAAATGTTTTGAATAGAAAAAAAAGACTTTTTGCTTTTCATGATATAAAACATAAATTAATAAACAACAGACATAAAATAATCAGTGTGTTTAGAAAGAACAAAATATAAATATAAATATTAGGACAAAAAAGAGAAAAGAAGAAAAACGATATTCAATCACAGACATATTACAAAAAAAAAGAAAAAAAAGAGCTCGATGGGTTTTTCTTTTTTTTATTTATGATTATTTTCATCATACGACATGCATTTCCATATCATCATCTAATGAATTTGTATTGAGTAATAATGCAGCTTTTTGTTTATCATAAAATGAATTCGATGCTTGTTGTTTCACAGCCGAAACCGCTCCAGAGAAGATTTGTGCTAGACGACTGCCACGTAAACTTGATACCAATGAACCATTAGGTGTTCGTTCGAGATCATCAATTCCACGATGAACATTAATATTTTTTCCTTTATTCATCGACCAAAGAATAAATTCATGATTATCATACGTTTGTATATCTGGTTTACGATAATTTCGTAACATTAATGATGACATAACAACACTAACCGAAGATAATGCCATAGCAGCTGATGCCATCCATGGCATCAAAGATACTCCTAATGGAAGAAATACACCAGCAGCAACAGGTATACCAATGAGATTATAAACAGTTGCAAATAAAAAATTTAATCGTATTCTTCGAACAGTTATTTTTGATAAAAGTATTGCACCGAGAACATCTTCAAGTGCATCACGAATTAAAACAACATTTGCAGCTTCAACAGCGACATCAGCTCCTGTACCAACAGCAATACCAACATCAGCACGAGCTAATGCCGGAGAATCATTAACACCATCACCAACCATTGCTACTTTATCACCTTTACGACTATTTTCTTTCAATGTAGCAATAAAACGTTCTTTTTGTGTTGGTAATACTTCAGCATAGACATTTTTTATACCGACTTGTGCAGCTATTGCACGAGCTGTTTTCACATTATCACCGGTTACAAGTAAAACTTCAAGACCCATAGATTGAAGAGCAAATATTGTTAATGGTGCTGTTGGTTTTATACGATCAGCAATTGCAATCATACTGATAATTTTACCTAAAATATACATATGAAAGAGAGATAATTAATTAAATGATATTATTCTTTACCATCAATAGCAATTAATACAGCCGTATGACCATCATGTTCATGTTTTGTCATAGCTGAATCAATTTCAAAAGTTACATGGATACTGTTTCTTTCCATCCATTCTCGGTTTCCAATTAAAACTGCATAAGTTTTGTCATTTAATGATACATTATCACCTGCACCATTATTTTTCTCCATTAAAAATTCAATTTGACTAACTTTTGCACTTAAACCATAACCCCAAACAGCATTAAAATCTTCACAATGCCCAAATTGTTCTCGGCCAAAATAATCTTTACAAGATTTTCGTATAGCCATACCTAATGGATGTTCCGAACCACTTTCAGCTGTACCAGCTATTGCTAATAAACGTTTTAATGTCCAATAAGGATCATTTTGAAGAAAGAGACGTATATCGACAACTGTTGGTTTACCCTGTGTTATTGTACCAGTTTTATCGAAAACGATGGTACGAATTTTTTGAGCGGCTTCTAAAGGTTCACCACCTTTAACAAGAATTCCTTGAGAAGCACCAACACCTAAATAAAACAAAAAAGTAAGAAAAGAAAATATAGTAAATATTTAACACTCTACTTACCAGTACCAACCATAACCGCTGTTGGTGTTGCAAGGCCAAGTGCACATGGGCAAGCAATGGAAAGAACGGTAATTGCAAAACGAAATGCTAATTCAAGTACAACTTCTATTTTAGTTGGTTCTTTTCCTGGATGATGTTTCATTGTAGAATTTCCACCCATCATAGAATGATGATACTAAAATAAAAATTAGATATTTAAAGAAATAAAATGAAATTCTAACCATTGAATATTTTTGTATTTGATCATAATGAGTATATCCAATAACAATCCAAGATATTAATGTTATACAAGAAACACCAACAACAACAGGTACAAAATAACCAGCAATTGTATCGGCTAATGCTTGTATAGGTGCTTTAGATGTTTGAGCTTCTTCAACTAATTTAATTATTTGTTTAAGTGCTGTTTCATGACCAACATGTGTTGCACAAATTAAAAGCATACCATTTAAATTCTTTGTACCACCAACAACTTGTGAGCCAACAGTTTTTTCAACTGGCATTGCTTCACCTGTTAATAAAGATTCATCACATGTTGATGTACCTTCAATAACTCGACCATCAGTAGGAATTGTTCCACCTGGTAAAACTTTTAATATATCATTACGTTGAATAAGTTTAGCAAGAATTGTTTTTTCTTCAATAATTGTTCCAGTTTGTTCATCTATACGTACTAATAAACCTTGTGGAGGTTGTAATGATAATAATTTTGTTAGAGCATCAGATGTTTTTCCCTAAATAGATCATATAGATTTTATTTTTCAATATATATATATATATTATTTAAATGCCGTACTTTAGCTATATGTTCAAGCCATCTACCAAGTGCAACAAACATCATAAGCATTGGTGGTACATCAAAAAATGTGACTGGACTTGGAAGACCTTGTGTAATATTAAATATAACAACAATACATGAATAAACATATGCTGTAGTAGTTGCCATAACAATTAAAACATCCATATTAGCTGAACGATGTTTTAATGCTTTAAATGCTTGAATATAAAAATAACGACCACTTATCCACTAGGAATAGAATGAAAGAAAAAATAAAATTTTATATAAAAAAATTAGTTTTTTTACTTGGACCGGTGTTGATAGGAGAAACATAATAAGATTTTCTAAGGACAGACCACGTATTACTTGTGGTGCATCTTCATGATTCCATTTAAACATAAATGCCATCATTATTATCATAGCTGGAATGCCAAAAATTGCCGAAAGTAAAAACGAATTTCTCCATCGTAGAGTTTCACGATGATGGATTTTAGCGGAACTGGATGCTTTGGAATCTTCATCTATTAAAGCTGCAGGAAAACCAATAGCCTAAATATTATACAAAGAAAAATATATAATTTTATTTTTGAATTATTATTATTATATACATCAAGTTCACGAATAATATCTCTTGGACCAATTTGTGATGAATCATATTTAAATCTACCACGATGAGTTAATAATGCAACTTCAGCACTATGTACTCCAGGTAATTTTGCAATAGATGTTTCAATTTTTCGTACACAAGATGCACATGTCATGTTTTCAATCTATTAAAAGATTAAATTTTTAACGAATTCTTCAAATGAATTTAACATACATTTAAATCAATCATATCTACACCACGTTCCATTACTTCAAGTACTTCAGCACGAAAGCCAAGTTCATTGATTAAATGAGCAATTTGAGATGGAATGATATATTCAGGATTATATTTGACTTCAGCTTTACTTGACAAAAGTGCAACAAGTACAGATTGAATTCCTATTTATTCGGTCATTTTTAAATGAATAATAACATATATATATGTATGATATTACCTTCAACTTTAGCAAGATTTCGTTGGATAGAATCAACACAACTAGCACATGTCATGCCGATTATACTTATAAAACAAATTTCTGAATCATCATTATTATTTGTTCGTTGAACATTTATAGTTCGAGTTGATCGGCGAATAGTTTCACCTAGGAATAAATCATTATTAATTATTCTTTAGTTTTAATGATATTCTCAGATACATTAAAGTTCTATAGGGGTAATATTATTGCCTTAGGTTATTTGAGAATGTGAACGTTCAAATTTTCTTCTTTAAAATTATCTATCAACATCCGGCATTGATCACATGAAGTGCTAAATTATCATCATGTAATAAGATAAATTCATCTCATGTTTATTCACTAATACAATTTCAGACTTAATATGATAGTAGTTAGCATATCCTACGATCAACTAAAGAGGCTACGTTTATGAAATACACACAAGGGGAAACCAGCTGATTCTGCATCAGCAGAATCACATGGAGTCACGTGGAATCAGCTGTTTTTCCCTTACGCTTACGATTTTATTTCAATAGTTTTGCTAAGATTCAAAACTAAATATATAGGTGAATTCCACCTGTATTCAGGCATTTGATGAAAAAAATAGATTATTAAAAAGGAGAATCTATTAAATACACACAGAGAACTTTATTGGTATATATATAGACGTCTACAGGTGTGGATAACACATTCACCTTTTTATTTTTCGTTCTTTGATTGATTTAGCAAGATTTTATAACGAAATTTTTTTGTTGTCAAGACTTCTCTCGCTTAAGTCTGTCGAATAGAAAAAGAAAGTTTAAATTTGATTTTTAATCAAGCCTCACTTTAATCTGTCATGACATTTTAATACAAAAAGAAATCTCATGTGACATTTTTCGAGTAAAATGCTATTTTCTCATGGATGATATATATTTAATAGCTGAAAAATCATTGATTAATCTCTTCTAACTACTGAGATATCGAGAAAAAAAACAAAATCAAGTATATCACGTGACGCGGAATGATTGAAATCAAAGATTTAATAAATTTATATTAGCAGAAAGATAAAAGTCGCAGTAAGAGAAATGCTATTTTTGTCTTGAAAATTCATAGGTTCAACACGGGTGCAATGTACCCATACACCAACTATAAAGTGACATCTACATATGCACCTGAATTTATAATGCTCTTGATACATGATCACTATGTAGTATATATTATCCAGATAAACCAATTATTTATATCTTATCCTTTTCATTTAAAGCTATAAAAGACCATATGACTTTTTTATTACATTCAAGCCATAAATATGACAAATGAAAAAATGGCATCTAAATGACGAATAACAAGAACTATGATTCGTTCTATATAAATCTTTTCATACAACGATCATATTTATTTTTGTCAAATAAATACTATTGAAGAAAAAAATGTAATTAAATTTTAATTGTCTTATTTTTCGATAAAAACATTCATAACAATAAATCTCAAAAGAATACTGACGTCATCCTTCTATAAATATTAATATTTATCTTTATAAAAAGAACAACGACAAAATAAATCTGTCTATTATGTGTCGATTAATTTTCTTTAGCAAATATGCGCCACATTTTCTTTTATAAAATCATGCTGACTATTTGTATTATTCAGTTGTTTACGGAAATTTCTATTTACATATGATAGTGGTGATAAATTATCATTTAGTCTTTTATAAAAGATTATTTCTATAACGCAGCGTGATAAAAATTAATTTAATGTCTGATTTCACCTATGCTATTCATTCTTTTAAAGTAATCTAGGATTAAGTTGTCATTAGACTTCAGCTTAGAAATTTTACCTGCCAATATCGGCACAGGCGAACTCTCAGTTGTATCTAAATAAAATAATCAATATGATTTTTTGCTGTTTGATTTTAATAATAAAAAAATTACCTTTTGATTTATCGATTTCGTTGGGTATTATGATAGCAACTTGAAAATCTAAGTCTTGAATTTCATCAATAATAGTTGATAAAGGAATAATATTTGGATCATATAAAATATTTGCTGATTGATCATCAAATGATACTTTAATATGATGTATACCTGGTAAATCTTCAACTGTTTGTGTTATATTCATAACACATGAATTACAATGCATTCCTTGTACTCGTAAATAAGCTCGAGAAATATTTTCTAATTTTGGATTAACTTTATAGCCAATTGATTGAATTTTTTGATAAACTCTATAGGGATCTGTTTGATTTTTATCATAGGATATTATAACATGTGAACTATCATTTTTCAAAGGAAAAATAACATTTAAAACTCCATCTATTGATGATATACGTTCAATAGCAGTCGGAATATTTTCATCTGATATTCCACCTAACTCAAGGTCAAGATTGTCATTTATATTTATTTGATTAAGTTCAGCTTCGAAGCCCATATCATTAATACGTTTAACAATATCATTTATATGAATATCATTTGAATTGAAAATGACCGTGCCCAATTTTTCTTCTAATGAAACCTAAAAAATACAATTCAAATATTAATTAATATGTAAAAATATTTTTTTTATATACTTTAATTGATTCAACTCCAGTTAATTTATTTACTGTATTTTCAATATTTTTTACACAACTTTGACATGTCATACCATTGATACGGATATGTTGTGTTGTTTCTGCCATAGTTGTAAATGACAATGCAGTTTTTTTCTTAGTTTATTATGTGATCAAAGTCATTATTTATGAATATATATATATATATATGAGTGAGTATGACTACGAATAGGTTCCCATGGAAATCTATTGGAGGAAAAATTATCCATACAATAACCGTTATGTTATATACGATACGTTACTTTTTCTTTCATCATTGGTTAAGCATGAAGAACTAATAAAAGAGTGGACAGAAATAGAATATATCTATTATTTTTATATTTCGTGAATATAAATAAATAATGTGTGCTGATACGAATAATAGTATAGAAAATGAGGAAGGTGATGACAATGATGAAGAAGCCGAGGAATATGAACCAGTATTTAAATTTTGTCCAATTACAAATTCATCTGAATTTCGAGAAAATAAGAATAATACGAAAAATGCACCAGCTGAGTTTAGTTGTATGGCTGTACATGCAAGATTTATTGTTGTTGGAAAAACAACAGGAGAAATTATAATAATGGATCATATGGGACATACTATACCACAATATCAAATTAAAGCGGTAACTATTATATTCTATTTGCAGAACGATAGAATCGGTATATTTTGAAAAATGAAAGGAATTTCTCTTCTTTAAATGAAAATATTCTTACGAAAAGCAAAGAAAAATAATTCGTTTTCTGTTACAGCATACATATCCAGTAAATGCAATATCGATTGATGATAATGGAGATTATATTGGCAGTTGTTGTCAAGAAGGAAAAGTATAATTTATAAATTAATTCATTTATAAATTAAAAAGAATAAGATTGTTTTAATTTAGGTTAAAATATCTGGTTTATTTAGTAAAAACGAAGATCAATTACATACATTTCCTCGTCCTATCAAAGCTGTTTGTCTTGATCCAAATTTTTCGAAATCAAAACAATATATAACAGGTGATACAACTGTAAGCCAAATATATATTTTAATTAAAGATACATCATATTATTTTGTAATTATAGCTTATTCTTAATGAAAGAGGTACATTTCGACATAAAGAAACCAAATTAATCGATTTTCAAGGTGGACTCATTCATACACTTCGCTGGAAAGAAACATTAATTGCTGCTGCCAATGACAAAGTATTCTATTGATTATTTTAAATAGAATAAAAAAAATTATTTTCGAATTTCAATAGGGTGTTGGTGTTTATGATTTACGTGCACGTCGATTAGTTGGATTTCTTGAATCTACTGATACTAATACAGAGTATATTCTTTTTTCTATATTAAAATAAAACTGATTGATTTTCTTTAGTGTTCCACGTGGAATTTTTCCAAGTCGAATATCATGGAATGATTCAACAACATTAGTAATTGCATGGGCGAGTACTGTTAAAGTTATTACTATTACAAATGATACGATGTATGATCATCAATCATCTATACCTAGAAAAAGCATAAATATAGGTAAGAAAATTATGATTGAAGATTTATTTATACATATCTTTCTTTTTTTAGCTGCATCATTCAAACTCGAATTTTTCGTATGTGGTTTAACATCGATTAATCGTGATTTAGTTTTTCTTAGTATTGAAAATTTCACTATTTCTGTAAATATAATTTATTCTGTTAAATTATTCAAAATCTTTTGCTTTTTTTTCTCAAAATAAAGGATGGTACATCGGAATTGTCGTTAACAATTTTATCACCAAGTGGTAAAGAATATGAAGAAAAAGCACATGATCCATTTAGCATGCAAGGTGATCAACAAACATCACCATTTCAATTTCAACTTGGTAAAATTTATTATACGAAATAAAACAAAAAAATAAAATTTCTTTTATTTTATAAATAGAATATTTACCAGATGAACAATGTTTTTTTATTTTAAATCCATATTCAATTAGTAAAGCTGAACGTCGAGATTATGATGATCATATTGATTTTTTAATAAAAAAACAAAAATTTGATGAAGCAATACAAGCTTTTGAAAAACCACCTACACGTATTGATGCTAAACCAAAACGACATACTCAACAAGTAATACAGATAAAAAAAGATTAATAAATATATATATTTTTTGTTCTTTTTTAGAGTGTCTACCTAGCGTATGTAACATCATTGATGGGAAATAAAGAAATTGAAAAAGCTGTGAAATTATTTCCACTTGTTTATAAAACAGCAGAAGAATGGGAAGAACAAATTCTTCTATTTATTGAACGGGACCAACTTGATGTAAGTAATTGATTATGAAATAATGCAAATTAGAGATGACCAGGTCGCAGTACTGAAATTTGATGAAATAGGACAATGAGTTACCGGATATGATGATTTCGCTACCTATGGATAATCTTGAATTTTTTAAATAGGATTAAATCTTCGGAGATATTTTCATGACTTTATTGTATCTGTACCTATCATAGTTTTTTGAGTAATATGTGAAATAACGTTATTATTTACTTTAAAGCGAAAGGAACGAAGTTAAGGTTTGTCAAGTATACTCAACTCTCACTCTATCATGAACCTATTAAGTATTAAAATGTTTTCAAGATAATCTAGATAGTCATCAGCTGCAACAATTTATTAAAGTCAATAATTGATCATATCAATTATTTATTTTCAAAGGATATCTCAAGAGTGGTTGAAAAATGAACGACATATTGAAAGCTCTTAGATGACCCTATGAAAAAATACGATTTATAAAATTCTACTGTATAACTTGTGGATCAGTGGTGTCCGAAGACTTATTTTGGACGTCGCGGTGCCGGTGACTTTTTCGATACTCCACTCATCTCTGATGTAAATACATTCTTACGTCAGTATGAATGATTAAATTTCTTATATACAATAAGTTTTTCAAACAGTATCAAAACCTTATCATAGAATATATATTCAACAATTGAGATAATATCACGGCTATAGACAACAAATACTTTCTCAAGTATAACAGGATCTTGTTTTAGTACTAAGAAAGACTAATCGAAATTATCTTATCTATTAATCTGACGTCGATATATCAAATAATATATAGAAAAACTAAGAGATGGGCAACTTCAACTCCAGAGTTGGAGTTAACTCTGGAATTGACGCTTTTTTTACCTGAAGCTGGAGTCGGAGTTGCTTATCTCTGGAAAAACCCTATTTGTATTATAAGTTTTCAACTTTATAATTAAATTTTAAAAAAGTGATTATTTAATTTAGATGCTAACGCCTTATATTCCAACAGATGCACCTAAACTTCATGCACCTGTTTATCAAAAAATACTTGAAACATATTTGCAAAAAAAGAAATATGACGTAAGTAAATAATAAAAATTTCAATTCAATAAATATGAATTATACTTTTTATCTTTAGAAATTAAAAGAATTATTAACAAAATGGCCATCAGATATTTATGATTTAAGTGTAATTGATCAATCAATTATTCTACAGACAAATAGTGAAAAGACACCTCAAGCATTACTTGAATGCTCAGCAATTATGTAAAAATAAAAATATTCTTTTATTTTATTTATAATTTACATCGTATTTTTATTCTATATAGAGCAGAAAAACGAGGCGATATATCCAAAACACTCACTATTTTTTTAAAGTATATCAGTTGAAATATATTTATAGTAATATTTGATTTTCTTTATAGAATGCAAAATATTCAAGTATTTCAATTAATTGAACGAAAACAACTTTATGAAAAAATTCTTCCAAATATTCAAACACTCATGGCAATTAATCAAAATGTTCGTTTAATCATCTTAATCCTAGAAAAATAGAAAGAGCATTAAATTTTTCGATAATTCGCTTTTAAAAAAAATCGATAATACTATTTCTCATACAAAAAATGCATAGAATAGTCTTGCGATCATCTATTTGAAGAAATTTTCTTTTTCTAGTTGACAATTGAAATGTTGGTAAATCACATGGAAAAATTACCGGTAAGTTTCTACAATTAAAATATTTAATTATCTTCATAATAAAGAAAAATTGAAATAGCTTCGATCAGTTTGTAATGCTCTGGACAAAGATCCTCGATATCTTCATGCAGTTCGTATAATCAATTTTTATAGAAGAGAAAAAAACTCTTTAAATTCTTTTAGTATCTTGATGCAGTATTTTCGAGAAAGCCTGATGATACTCGTGATTTTCATACACGTCAAGTATCACTTTATGCTGAATATGAACCTACAAAATTAATGGGATTTTTACGTAAAGCTGGCAATTATAATATACAAGAAGCATTAAGTATTTGTGAAAAAAAAAGATTACCACGTGAAACAGTTTTTCTATGTGGTTTGTTATTTTTTGAATAAACATAGACATTTTAGAAAAATATTATTATTAGGACGATCGGGCAATGGACGTGTTGCTTTACAAATTATTCTTAATGAATTAAATGATATCGAAGAAGCTATTCAATTTTGTCGTGAAACAGGTGATAAGAAATTATGGGATACATTAATTGAACAATCTATAAATAGACCAGGTAAAAATAATTTCTTTTTGAATTAAATTTATTAAAGAAAATTCTTGATTTTTGTTTTCTCATAGATTTTATTCGAGGTCTATTAAATCATGCTGGTGGTGATATTGATTTACAAGAATTGATTGATAAAGTTAAAAATGATTTACGAATTCCCGGTTTACGTGATTCGTTATGTAAAATAATGCAAGATTATAATATTCAGGTAGTTTAAATTGAAAAATATCAGTATAGAGGCAACATAGAATCGATTACTGACAATGTGATCAATAGCATATTTGACAGCTTACCTCTATGTGAGATTCTTCCGTTACTGATCTTATGATCAATGCTGGTTCTACGATGAGTAACAAAACGAAGTTCATCGCTGAATACTTCAAAACAATAGGAGAATTTAAAAATAATTGAAAATATTTTTATTTTATTGAGTAGATGTATTATTCACTAGTACGAGGAAGTAGTGCCATATTGTTCTAATCATAGTCCCAATCAATTGTTATGTGGTGACAGGACAGAACGTCGCAAGCATATGGTTCAGTGAGGGTGAGAGCGAAAGTGTGTATGAGGGTGCATCGAATATCCACATCCCGCATTCATACACTGTTCAGCATCAAACGTTTACTAGCAATTCGATTTGAACCCTAAGATGAACTGCGATGTTCTGTCCTAGCGCCATATGTTCCAACTTTAAAAAATAAATAATTACTATAATATAAATTTCAGTAAAGTTTATTTTAATATTTATTTCATAGATGTCCATATCGGAATGTTGCCGAAAGATAATTGTCCATGATTGTTTAGCATTACGAAAACAGACAGTAACATTACTACAAGGTGGTTATCCAGTCAAAGGTAGTTTATTCGTTTTTTATTGTGCCTTATTTTTCTTTTATTTTATTCAATAGATTCTGATCTATGTGCTAAATGTCATAATCCTGTATACAGTTGTGGTTAGTTTTTATTCTCTTACATAAAAAAGATAAATACGAATTTAATTCTAGACCTTCTAACGAATCCTCCCATATCTGTCTTCTTTTGTTTACATGTCTTTCATGCAAAATGTATTGAAACAAATCCAGTAAGATAATTTTCTTTTTTTATAATTATTTCTAAATCTATATATTTAGGATGTATGTGGTGTCTGTTCAACAAATGCTCTATTTACTACAGCTTAGTTTAAAAACGAATCGAATTTAAATTATTTAACCGAGTGAATAAAATGATTAGATTTCTTCTTTCCGTCCTTGTTTATTCACAGTGATTTTTTTTTATTGCGCATGTGTGTATGTAATTGTATACTTGAACTGATTTGAAATAGAAAAAAAAAGCAATATTAAAGTTTGATTGTGTGTCTTCTCTTTGTCTTTCAATATGATTGTATATGAAAAAATATTTTTCAAAAAAATGTTGATGATTAAATATAATTTTTGTTATGTTTGTATTGAAGATGGTTTTACTTGGTTTTATCGACGAACCAAAAGGAGGAAAAACAACCAATGATGATAACCCATCAAATTGGACGATTTCAAGAATTGGTGGTCAAGCTGTAAGTAGTTAATTAGGAAGGTAACTATATTTTCTTGAATTTATTTATTGAATTTAGGCATTTCCCAATGATACAATTTCAACGAAAGTAAAATCGTCTCTTCTTTGCGGTAAATGTCAGAAAGAACAAATATTTGTTTGTCAACTTTATTGTCCATTGGATGGTCATAAATATGATCGTGCTATTTATCTATTTGCATGTCGAAATCCATCTTGTTGGAATGCATCTAATAGGTAAGTGAAATTATTCTTTTATTAAATTCATTATCACATTGGCTAGAATTTTAGTTGGACTGCTATACGGTGTCAAAAATATGATGAAACCGTTGAAGAACCAATGCCAGTTGATATTGAATCACCTGCTAAAGTTCCATTATCATCGACTGATTGGTGTGATGATGCTGATGCATGGAATAGTGATGATGATGGTACTACTACTACTACTAAAAAACCAGCTCCTGTTCCAACAATAATTAAAAAAGAAATAAAACAAGAGCCTGAAGTAATGTTGAACACAATGAAAATTGAAGATGATGATCACAATAATGAAAGTGAAAAATCATCAAGTGATGAAGAAGATGACAATAATAATAATATTGAAGTTAATACCAAAAAGAAATCTAGTAATAAAAATGTATCTGTTGCTTCATCTGATGCTTTTAATGAATGGAAGAAAACTAATTTGAGCAAACAAGCGTTAAATGTATCAAATAGTGCATCTTTTCCATTTTATTATATTGTTATTGATGATGAAGATGATATCGTTGATGAAGCTAAATTAAATGAAAAAAGAAAATTAAGAAAAGCAATGAAAAAATTAGGTGATATTGATGAAGATGATGACGATGAAACAACGAAAGGTGCAAAAGAGTATGTATATTATTAGATTATGAAATATATTTCAAATAAATTCATTTAGAAAATATGAAAAAACACCTGATTTTGAACATGGAGATGCTGTTTTTCATCGATTTCAACAAAAAATTAGATATGCACCGGATCAAATCATTCGGTAGGAATTAACTATACATATTTCAAAGAAAACATGACATACTATATTAGCAAAATACATAGCAGAACATGAGAAGTTTTTTATCAAGTGTAGTGAAATATAAACAGAGTGTTATCAAACTCTAAAATATTTCATCGTTTTTATGAATTCTACAAAAGCTCAACTTGATAAGTCAGATTGAAAAACTATACGCAGATTTCGAATATTCAGCATCGATATGATATCTTATCTAATGAAAGAAAAGTATTCAACTGATAGATACTGGCTTGATGCTAATTTTTGTTCGTAGCATAAATTAAAGATCAAATCAGTCTATTGATCGAATGGTATACAGATTGATGTTATAAGTCATTGAGGTAGATCGGTTTCTTTTGAAATATAAATAAAAGTTGTAATAGAACTACTATTATTATATCTTAACGATGAAACTCTTCCAAATAGTTAGAATTAGAAACGAGAAATTTAGTGGTATGACTTCTTCTATTCCCTTTCTCGTAGAGAAGGAGTCCAGTAAACATTAATTGTCTGATTGTGTACCCGCCCCTCAATGATTCATCGAAGAATTAGGCGAAGACGTGCACGAAATTTTTGTATAAGGATTGACCGAAGGGTAATCAGGATCGGGGAGATCGAATCTGAAGTTAGTTTTTTACATACTGTAGGAAACGATTTCTACGAGAAAGAGTCCTCAGACGAGCGTTACTTGTAATTCTATCTATCGATTAAACTCAATTATTTTCAAGGTACGATTGGTCTGGCCATCCGTTAATTCTCACAAAAGCCGATGAAAATACTTTATCATCTGCTCAAAAATGTCGTAATTGTCAATCATCATGTAATTTTGAATTTCAACTAATGCCTGCACTGGTGAATTTTCTCAAAATCGACAATCAAATAGGTTTGAAAAAAAAATGAATAAATTATGTTTTAATATCGATGAATATTTAGGTCTGGAGTTTGGTACGGTTTTTATTTATACATGTTCTGCTAATTGTTGGGATGAGAAAAATGATCTATATCGGGTTGAAAATGTTTTTGTTCAAGCTGATCCTGATCAAAATTTATTTGATTAATAAAAGAAAAAGGAAATGAAACATCATATTTTGTTCTGTTTTTAGATGATTGAACAATTATTTTCAGCTTTTATTGTTCTTGCTATTCTTGGACTTATTGTTCTAAGCGTAAGTTAATATAATTTAATGTGATATGAAAATTATAAAATTTATTTCTTATTTTAAAAGATTATCTGTCTTTTACGTTCATTTAATATGGCAGCTCGAAGTGAAAATGAAAAATACTTCCAAGATCCAATAACAAAATCTCGAAAACAATTTCCTTCGCTCAGTGATTCACATTCGAAATATCTTTCTGTTATTATTCCAGCTTATAAAGAAGTTGATCGATGTACAATCAATATAAATTTTACGAGTATTTTATACCTAATTCTTTTTTCTATGTATAGTACCAACTATGATCAAAGATACAATGAGTTATTTAGAACAACGTCAGGTATGTAATAGAACTTGAAGCGAATACAAACTGTAATGAGATATTTCAAGTAGTGGCGTAACCAGATTCACCCTACTTTGATCGAAAGCAAAAATGTCGAACGTAAAAATATCGAAAGTAAAAATATTGAATGTAAAAACATCGAAACATATATATGTGGAAATGTTAGAATACGGGTGTGGGTATGGACGTCGATATAAATAGAACATTCATCCACATCCACACCCACACCCACCCTGTTTTTCGATATTTGACTTTCGATATATTTATCGTTCGACATTTCTATATTTCTATATTTTTGTCGTTCGATATTTTTACCTTTCTACATTTTTATAGCAGCCATTTTTGACATTTTTATTTTCGATCAAAGTAGGATTTATTGTAACCAGGGTAGGGGCCGCTTACTCACTGGACCTGCTCGCCCGCCTATCCATAATTTGGAAAAGCGACGTTTCCATGTATTTATTATATAGTATTTTTGAAATCCGTAGTACGGCGCCAACCCATCCGTCAATTTCTGGTTACGCTACTAATCTTAAGATAGGTCATAACAGTTTTTATTGCAATCTATACACGCGTAATCTCCTATGATTATATGCAAAAGCATAGCGATGAATATCGGAGATTAATCACTGATCAGTATTAGTCCTGCATTCTTTCGTTATATTATTTATTAGTAAAAATGTCACTGTTATTTTCAACTTGAATTTTGAATTTTTCAGGGAAAAGATCAATCATTTACATATGAATTAATTATTGTCGATGATGGAAGTCCTGATAAAACTAGTGAAGTAATATAAATTGAATTCAAAAGAATGATTTTCTTTATTTCAATATTCAAGGTTGCACTTCAATATAGTAAACAATATGGAACAGATATTGTTCGAGTATTAACATTAGATGTTAATCGTGGTAAAGGTGGTGCTGTAAGAATGGTGAGGTAGAGTGTTGATAAACTAATATGAATTATAAAATATTTCTTTTTTTTTATTCAGGGTGTATTAAGTGCTCGAGGTCAATGGATATTATTTGCTGATGCTGATGGTGCAACAAAATTTAGTGATTTTACTAAAGTTGAAAATAAAGCTCGAGACAACATAAAAGTAAAAATAAAATAGGGAAAAATACTTGTTTTCTTTTAATCTAAAATTAATTTAGAATAATAATATTGTTGTTTGTGGTTCAAGACGTCATTTAGAGCAAGATTCTGTTTCAAAAGTAAATTTAAATAAAAAAAAAGAAAAATATTATTCATCTTATTTGTTTTTAGAGATCTGCATTTCGTACATTACTTATGTATGTATTTCATTTTGAAGTATGGTTATTCGCTGTTAAATCTATTCGTGATACACAATGTGGTTTTAAATTATTTTCACGTGAAAGTGCAAGAAGAATTTTTTCACAAATGCATGTTGAACGATGGTAATAAGAAAAATCAAAAACACTAAAATCTACTTTGCTGTTTTTTTTATCATAGGGCATTTGATGTTGAAGTTTTATATATTGCCGAAAAATTAAATATTCCCATTGTTGAAGTTGATGTTAATTGGCAAGAAATTCCCGGTTCAAAACTCGATCCATTTACTGCTTCAATTCAAATGGGTATTGATATATTAGCTATTTGGTTACGATATATATTAGGAATATGGACAATTCAACGTAAAAATGAATAAAATATGATTTTGGTTGATGCTATATTTTGTTTTATTTTGGGTGATTTTTATTGTTAAACATTTTGTTATCTTTTTTTTGCTCTCTTTTATTTATTTATACTATTATATTATTAAAGTCAATAGATCACCGGTTTAAACATAAAAAAATTTCTACGATAGGCTTCGTACAAGAAATGAAAACTAAATTTTTCGACTCTTCTCCAGGAGTATTGACAATTGATATTAATGATGACAATAAAGTACGACCTACGCAGTTACAAATTGACAGGGTGTCATAAGATTTCCATCCTGTTTATTCCGGTCGCATATTTTTAGTTTCATTTGAATATAAGTAAAACTAGCAGATGTTCTAATTTTCTCTCAAAACAAAAAAACAAATGATAATACGAAATTAATTAGAATTAATTCTACTTAAATGTGTTTATACAAGAATCACGAAAGAAAACTTTACTCATATAACTAAATCAACAATAAAAATTTGTCTTTATTTTTAACTTTTTGCACATCTGCTTGCGTGTCAATGTCATCGATCGCTAATTGAAATTTAGTAAATAATCTTCTATAATATTATCTAGTCTTTTATTAAATTTCTTTTCTTCTAAAATAACTAGATTTCTTTCTCTATGATAATCTTTCTACTAAAAGACTTATAGATCAGACACAATATTGAAGAAAATAAAGTCTATCAAATCTATAGAGATTTTATCTGTATTTAATGTTCAACCTACGTTTTCTTTATTCAATCTATTATAATTAAGAAATAGTCTCCTGTGTACATGTCCTTTGACATATTGACTTTAGAAAGAAAATAAAGACATTGTTCTCATGTGAATAGTAGATTGACAAGATCTAATCTTGATTGAATCACACAATATTTGTATTGTAGATTTAGCGTGCTTTTAAAGTCGAGTTCCCATAGACAGATATCTCATATTCCTATGCACTCGATTTTGAGGAAAGAAGCAACAGAATATTAATTATTATTTTACTATCTAACCGTCTCGGATATTTTTTGCTTTTTTTCTTGTGTCCTATATTTTGAAATCTAGAGAAAACTAAAATTGAACATGGATGCTGATGAATTTCGACAACGAGGTAAAGAAATGGTTGATTTTATTGCGGATTATTTAACAACTATTCGAACGCGACGTGTATTTCCTAATGTTAAACCTGGTTATATGCGTCCATTGATTGATGAAGAAGCACCAAAACAAGGTGAACCATGGGACCAAATTTTCAATGATATTGAACGTGTGATCATGCCTGGTGTATGTACATCAATAATTTCTTATATATTAAAAGAATTTATTTAATTTTATAGATTACACATTGGCAATCGCCTTATATGCATGCTTATTTTCCAGCATTAAATTCTTATCCATCTTTACTTGGCGTATGACTGAAAATTTTTTTAAATAAAATATATATCTCTTATATAAATATATTTAGGATATGTTAGCAAATAGTTTAAATCAAATTGGATTCACATGGGTACGGAATAAATAATTAGATAGATTTTTCAAGTTCTATTTTTAAAACTAGGCATCAAGTCCAGCATGTACAGAATTGGAAACTGTTGTTATGGATTGGTTAGCAAAAATGATTGGATTACCTAATGATTTTCTTCATTCACATGCCGATACAACTGGAGGTGGTGTAATTCAAGTAAGTATGAAAAAATATTTGATAGTATATATTAAGATGAAATTCTTATAGACAACAGCATCGGAAGCAACACTTGTAGCATTACTTGCTGCTCGAAAAGAAGTTATTCGTCGTGTTCAAGCCCAATTTCCTTATTTAAGTCCTGCTGAAATAAATGGACGTCTTGTTGCTTATTGTTCTGATCAAGCTCATTCATCTGTTGAAAAAGCATGTCTTATTGGTTTAGTTAAACTTAATCTTGTACCAAGTGATGATAAATTACGTTTACGTGGTAGTTCTTTAAGACAAGCTATTGCAAAAGATAAAGAAAATGGTCTTATTCCATTTTATGTAAATTAAAAAACAATTATAATTTTTTTCGATAAAATATATTTTAATTTTCTTTTTAAGTTATGCGCAACATTAGGTACAACTGGAGCATGTGCATTTGATAATCTTATTGAACTTGGAGCAATATGTAAGTTTTGTAGAGCATATCTACATATATAATAAAATATTTTCATAGGTGAAAGAGAAAATATTTGGATTCATGTTGATGCCGCGTATGCTGGAACTGCATTTATTTGTCCGGAATTTCGACATTTGATGAATGGAGTAGAATTTACTCACTCATTTGCATTTAATCCATCGAAATGGATGATGGTTAGTTAGTTAGTTTTTTTTAATTTTTGATTTTTAATTAATTTAAATTTATTTATCTAGGTACATTTCGATTGTACTGCAATGTGGTAAGTGAAAATAACTGTTTGTATATCTAACTATTTGTTTCAAATAAGGGTAAAATCAAGTGCAGCACTTCATCGAGCATTTAATGTTGATCCATTATATCTTCAACATGAAAATGCCGGTGTTGCAATTGATTATATGGTAATCATTCAGTTATATATTTTCTTCTATTTCATAATTATTATTTTAGCATTGGCAAGTTCCGTTAAGTCGTCGATTTCGTGCATTAAAACTTTGGTTTGTTATTCGGTCATTTGGTATTGAAGGTCTACAAAAACATATTCGAAATGTACATATATTTTTTATAATTAATATTAAACTAAGAACTTTTCGTATTCTAGGGTGTTCGGATGGGAACTTTATTTGAATCATTAGTTAAAGCTGATAAACGCTTTGAATTACCAGCTGATCGACATCTTGGTTTAGTTGTTTTTCGATTAAAAGGTGATAATGAATTAACTGAACAGCTATTAAAAGAAATCAATAGTGGTGGACAAATTCATTGTGTACCAGCATCAATTAAAGGCAAATATATCATACGTTTTACAGTAACAGCAACATCAACAAATTCGGATGATATTAATCGTGATTGGAAAATAATTCAAGCAGCAGCTAGTAAAATACTTCGTCCACTAGATAGTTTAACACCGCAAGAACGACGAAATAAAATGAAAAATCTTCATGATGATTTTCGTATGTCACTTGTTCTATCAAATACACCACATAGTCCATGTTTAATTAATGGAAGTTTTGCGGCGATACTTCCACTTAATACAAGACATATTTATGCTATGACACATGAATTAAGTCAACGTGGATTAAAAAATTCTCTTTTACCAATATCAACAAGACGACGAACAAAGAATTATTCTGGTCAACAAACAATTTGTAAACAAATGAGTATGGATGGTAGTATGATAAATAGTGATCAACAAAAATATTTAGTACCAATGACATCATCATCATCATTACCAATTAGTCGACAGGGAAGTTTAGATTCACGTATTGAAGAAATTTTAGAAAATAATTCAATTGGAAATACGAAACCAAATGAATTTTTAACAACAACAATATCACCATATGGTCATATGGATTTAAATATAATCGTACCAAAAATTAATAAAGAATAAAAAACAAAACAAAACAAAAAAATAGATTTTTATTTATTATTTTATCTTTATTTTAATTATATAAAAAATAACAAGAAATAAGCTTATTTGTTTGTTTATTGCAAGAATATTAATAAATGTTTGTCTGTGTATACTAAATGTCTATTTAAATAAATATTCTTTTTCATGGAAGAAAACATCATACATGCAATATTATGTGTACGGAGAATATTAGTTTTATAATTGTTTCCTCTATATAAGGTTAACAAAATTCCTAACGAACAGATGTTCTATAGGATCGCATGTTATGGTACCTTCATCCTATGTAATGAATCGTCTTTTCTAATTAAATATTAATCTAATTGATTTATTCTACGTCGATAATATAATATTAAGTAAAAAACAGATTTTGCATATAGTACTTCGAATTACAAATATCAGTAAATGTATATATATATATGAGGGTGGTTCTAGTTTTTGACAAGACCATAAAATGGGTCTGATTAGTTCAGTCGTATTCCAAGTAGAATAAGAATATACATTCTTGTCATAGCTTGGATGAATAATTATTGCATGTAATTGAACAAATTTCTTCTATAGAATAGTGGAGGAAAGTATTAACCTTTAAAAACTGGTGATTCTGGATTTCTAATATGTTGAAACTATACTTTAAAAAGCAGTTTCTATGATTATGGGCAGTAGAGCCCGTCGGGTCCACAATTTTTTAGACCCGGACCCGGACCCGAAGCCAGGTCCGAGTCCAAGTCGGACCCGATCCTGATGAGCACTAGCCTGAACTCGAACTGTACTTTTAGACTCTCAGTAAATTTTTCTACTTGAAATCTGACAGTTGCTTCGAAAATAGTTTTATTGTTGTTTTTTCTATTATTTTTTCATAAATAAATTCAAGACTTTGAATGAAAAATTTTAAAAAATTAAAAAAAATACTATGTTAATAACATATTTCTTTCGATCCGGACCTGAACCCGACGGGCTCTAATGGGTAGGGATACATCCTTTTTAATTTTTTTCCTAGGAGAGACCACAGTTCAATCAAGAATAGTATAAAATTCACTTATATCATATTTTAGTAACCATTAGTTTATTCAGTGGTAATACTTCAGATCTTTTAAGATAGAAAACGATAAGTTTTAAAATATCTGTTGGACAGTCAATTCAGAATGACTTGTTTCTCGTCTTATGACTTATCATGCTCTGTTAATCTGAAAAAATGTTCGTTTTTGTATAAAATATTTTATGAAAAAGTTTCTGAAAGTTGATAAGAATATATTCATTGCAAGAGGATGAGAGGGAACACTGTATAGATGGTAATGCACGTTATATTCGTAGTAATATATTCATGACCTGTATTAGTACGAATAATTATAGTTGCACGGTAGAAGGCCTACATAAGTTTAGTTATATTCATTCAAAGCCAGACGTAAATATAACTCTCCCTCCCCCAACAGATTAACCGATGAAAAGACGTCAGATTTGTTGTTGTATAGTTTCTATTTGCGAACTAACAGCATGCGTCAAGGATAATAATATATACATAAACACATAATCATTTCTTTTTCTGTTACGATACAAATATCACCTATGAATATCTATTTCAAGTAAGTATCTGGCTTTCTATTAAAACGAAGGCTGAAAAAGTCAAATGTACGAAACATTTATTTTAAATGAAATGTATAGTAATAAAAGAAACGATAAGCTAAATTTTTATATTCAATATAATTAATCGATATTATTGTACTGGTATGAAAAATATTCATTTATTCATTCAACAAGAAACTGAAAATCTTTGAATAATGTCTTGTTTCATTCGATCATTCTCTTTTTGTGGTTTGTTTATGACACGGTATTATCTTTCGTACTTAAAGGATGAGTAATCACTCACCTATTCTCATAAAAATACTTTAATACACCGTTTCTTTTTTTTTTATTTTGCAAAAAACAAATATTCATACACACATATGCATATTCTTATGTATAAATCCACCATGCGTGATAATATCGAACATAAACAAATAGATTATATTTTTATAGGTTTTTAATGTTAGTATTATCTAGCAGCAGCTACAAGATATTTGATCAATAAACTAAATCACTCCTCGCTAAATTATTCATCTAGAAAATTAAGAAAGCACTTAATTCATTTCTTTTCCACTACACCAAACATCTCTCATGCATACTTGACATATAAATAATAAAATAGTTAGACAAATATATAAACTTCATTGAATTATTGTAATAATCTTAATATCACTTTATGTTAACAAAATCATTCTTTCGAAATATTATGACTATTTTTCTTTTGTACAATAACAAATACATAAATCATAAGAAAAGAAAAGAAAAGAAGAATCAAGGACTATGTATTCGTTTATGTTTACTAAGGAAAAAAACACAGTTCACTGATTAGCTGGGCTTGTCTAGTTTTATATAAAAATAATGTGTTATTGTTAAGCTATTATTTTTCTATTATAATTAGAAAACGTACATTAACAAAGTAACAAAACAAAAATTAAATGACCTTTTCTTTCGACCTCAAATTTTTGTTTTAAATATGATCTAGTTTGTCACAATCTTGACCATTCGACAAATGCTTACTCCTTATAATTGGATCATTTTTTTTAAATAATTACTAAAACTAACCAAATATTTCTTTTTAATATGAATAAAATATGTATTTAAAGCAATTAAAAATAAGGTATTTTTTATAATCGTGTTATTGAAAGTGAAGATATTCAAAATAAAAATGGATAAATAATAATTAAATTAATATAAAACCACTATTCTCAATATAAAATAAATGAATATACGTATAATAATTATCAATGAATCATCAACAATTAAAAAAAAGTAACACTACCAAATATAGAAAAATATTTTTTTTCTCAAAAATAGAGAACGATGAAAAAAAATGATGCATTAATTATGAATCTTCAATTTATTTGTTTTTTACAAAACATGACAATTTTCTGATAGATTGTTTGATAAATTTAAATAGTGCTAATTAAATTTTCTTTTTATAAAATAGATTAGAATATTAATATGCAATAATGTCAAGAAAAAAATCTAAATAGACGGACTAATTCTTCTTCTTATTTATAAATCTTTTATAACAAGTAGATTCCCATTCAATACAAATAGATGAATTTTCTAACATCAAACCGCAATTTAAAATAAGAAAAATTTCTTTTCATACTATTTTTCGCTTCTATATTTTTATTATTTTTCTTCATTTCTACGATATTTATTGACTATTTTTTATAATAAATCTTTGAATTATTTGCTAATTGTATTTACAATAAAAAATTTCTAAATGGAATTAACCGCCTGCGGCCTGCTCCTCCTACCTCATTCTTTCAATATTTTGAAAAAAAAGAAAAACAGTAATCATATTTTGATCAACCAATCAGAATGATACATGCTCCTTTTTCTGTCATATTAATAATATTACTTGTCTAGTTGATATACACATACACCAACATACAAATATAAAGAAACGATGTGTAACATAAATGAAGCATTTGAATTGCTATGGTGTGTACATATGAAACCTAATGATTTGTACTTCACTTTGAAAATGCTAATTTACCAGTAAATTTGAAGAAGAAAAAAAAGAATTGCACGTAATTTTTTTGTCATACATTATTAGAAAACTTGAAATAATTTAATAAAAAAACAAAAATGAAAAATACACAATTTTAAATTTTATATTGTCGATAAAAAATCCGAAGAATATCCTCCAAGATTGTGATCCATCCATTCAACTTCCGGATCATTCATTTTAGTTATTGTTGTTATTATACCAATAACCATTGTACAAAACATTAAACCGATTATAATATATACAACCAAAGCTAAAGACAAAGCTAATCTTCTTAGCCGTTGTACTAAAACAGTTCGTTTACGTTTTAAATTTAAAACATGATTAACTTCATTCAAAAAATCCCAAAAAACTGTTCCATGTTGTATATCTTGTTTACTAAAATAATAAAGTAAATTTTGTAATGATAATGGTTCTTCACCAAGACGATCATAGATAAGTGCATCTTCAGGCTGAACATGACGCGTATCAAACTTTTTACTTTGTCCTTTCGCACTCGCTAAAGAAAATTCTTTAACAGCTTGAAAACTTGTGTCGTTATCAACATCTTTAATTTCTAGTTGAGCACGCCTTAATTCGCGCGCCATTTGTAAGCCTAAATAAAAATCTGGTAATTGTCCTTCTTTACCAATCGCTCCACGAAAACCCATAAAACGAATACGATGTATATTACGACGTACAATTAACCAACGTGAATTCGGTCGAAGAGAATGAGCTGTTAGAGGTGCTTGATAATCAAAATCAAATAAAGTTTCACGTTGTCCTTGACGAGGACTTGGTGTTTGAAGTGGTGTGGATGTTGTAGGTTGTTCATCAACATTCAAAGGATTACTAAATATATGAACTTCTTCTTCCTGTTTAGGAATACGAATAAAACGTGTACGATGATTTTGAGTCATTTTATTTCTATCTGAAAAGAGAAATAAATTGTCATTATTCAAAGAAAATCAAAGAATGAACATAGATGACGAATATTTTATTAGACTATGTGATCGAAAATGTCTAATTAGTTTTGAAGCTTGGACATTATTTTAATTTATCAATAATTATATCTAGTATAATCAAATTGCTCAGAGAAGATTATTTTCGTAACATACTTGTTATATATTGTTTATTGTACAGAATTTCTTTTGTAGATATACATCTATATAAATTATGACTGTTTTGTTAAATCATGGTCGATGAGACTGTTCAGGTGTCAAAACTAGAACAAATATTCTCTCCATTATTTTACCTGTATCGGTGTAAATATTGTTTAGTTGTAAAGGACGTTAAATGAGAAGGCATATGCGTGCGTGTATATAGAGAGAGAAGAAAAAAAGGTTAAAATAGACACGTTATTAGATATAATACAAGCGCACATGTGTATAACTCAAGGTAGACATAGTATCTTTTATCATACTTATCAAATATTCAAATCTGTCGTGTATTGCGCTACTAATATGCATAAAAATGGTAAGAAAGAGAAAAAAGCTAGGATAGAAAGAGAGAGAGAGAGAAAGAGAGAAGTGTTACTCACGATTGAATAAATAATTTTCAAAATTTGTACATAAACGCTCGAGGATATATTTAAAATTGTATATAAAATCTTTTCAATATTTCTTTTGCGTTCGGTTTTTTTCAATTACATGTATTGTTTGACA